ATATATATATATATATTCACTTGTTAAAAACTACCATGAGAAAATTTAATTAAAAAACCTATAGAACCTATAGATATATAAATATACATGCCAATTTTGGAAACACAATTTCTTTATGTATATGTAATTTAAATCATTATTATAATGATTAACTTACAAATGTTTTCAACTTTTAACTTGCTACTCTACAGACTATAACAACATCTAGTGTGAAATGACAAGAACAAAGGTTTAAATCATTATTATAATGATTAACTTACAAATGTTTTCAACTTTTAACTTGCTACTCTACAGACTATAACAACATCTAGTGTGAAATGACAAGAACAAAGGTTTAAATCATTATTATAATGATTGACTTACAAATGTTTTCAACTGTTAACTTGCTACTCTACAGACTATAACAACATCTAGTGTGAAATGACAAGACTATTACATACACGACAGGAAATGTGAGAAAAATACAATAACTAAGACATACCCATCTTCTTGAACCGTGCCCACATTGTTAGCAATGGATGGAAATATCACCCAAATTTCTTTCTTCCTAAAATGTTGTTGGTGTATATATTTAATTTTACAATGCACTACACCTTCTGTTTGGAAACACCGCACCAGTCGATATCAATCTTCAGTATATTTAAATGTCGGCCATTAAGGCCCCAAATCTCCCCAGATGTGTAGCAGGCTTAATCTGGATACATACTGCAAATATATCAATAAAATAAGAGCAATTCTAATATAAAAACAATTTCAAAGTGAGACTTTACTTGAGCCACTAAACATTTCAGGCTTCTATAACACACAAAATTAAACAAGATTGTTCATAATTCAAGCTGGCTAATATTTTTCAAGTCTGGTTAAATTTTAATATCCTAAAGCACTATAAGCAAGACAAATGGCCCGTAATTTGATAAGCAAATGTTGAGAAATTAGGTCACAATTAGATTAGCTAGCATAAACAGACATGTTGACAAACCCTTTTTTTTTGGTTCCAAAGATCACACAGTTAGAACTTTTCCTTGCGACCTTCTGAAGATTAGCTCCACGTGGAAAGTGATGAAATATTATATACATGAGAATACACGTGGCTGTTTTTGGTGACTTGTAACTAAGCTGCAGAAGAGCTTACATAAAGTAAGTACAGATAGTGTGAAAATGTCAAATGATCTCCAGCCCCAAACTACATCATATCAAACAGACAGACAGACATAAAAGGCAGGAGAAATCAACCAGATCAGTTAAAATGCACAAGATTGTTTTTATCCTGAATTCTTTAAATTAACAGCATGCAAGCTTTATAAGATGCTAAGCAGAAAAATAACAACAAATACGACAGTTTATACACATCAAAATCTTGTGCAAGATTTTTTTAATTTAGTCATCAAGCTGGCTTCTTCTTGGGAAATCTCAGCCAGTAGTAACATCATATTAGCATGCAATATTTTCTTCCAAAATTTAGAAAAAATTATATTACAGTAGTACTTGTAAATTTAGAAGAAAATTCTGTGCATAACTTAGGCTTAGAATATGTGTGAAGTTTTGTTATTAGAGACTCCTCGTCGTCCTTTTAAGTTATTTTTTAGATGTTTTATACGAGATATGTTTTTCAGCCTAGTTGTAAACAATTTTTCACTTTTCTTATTTTTGACAAAGAAGGGAATAACAAATTAGTCAAGTTTGCTGATGACAATGCCCTCTTGAGTATTTATAACTGTAATACGGATGTTGAGATATTAAAGAATAATTCTGATGAATTGTTAAGTTCGACAAATAGTTGGCATACGACCTTTATTGATATCAAATAATGATTATATACTTCAGTTTAATCATTAAATATAACAAGATTAAAGAAAAGAATCTTGACACAGTGATAGATAAGCCATTCAGAATATAAATGCAATGCTCTGTTGCTAAAGCTAATCAAATTTTAGGAACTATTTACTGGTTTATTTTGTTGCAAGTCTAAACCATTTGGAGTATTGTGTACAGTTTTAGTCTTTTTATGTAAAAAAATGGTAAACTTATTAGAATGGGTACAGAGGAAGGCTACATGTGATCTACAAATGAGAAATAATGATGCATGGTACCTTAGTTTGATAAAAATAAACAAAAAAACCTCTTATATGACAAAAACTGCAGTATAACATTTATTTATCGAGCTTGGCAATCAACTCAATTAACCAATGAACTGAAATTAGCATTAAATTAATCAAGATCACTCCATTAATGAAGTAATAAAAATTAATGTTTTTTCATTATTATTACCATTTAAAATTTTTCCAACTATCCAAGTCTCCTGTGACAGTAATCTATCAGTTCAATGTAATTAATTAATGAGACTGATGATGAACTGATTAACAAATTCCATTAATCACAAAGCTATTTATTTCCAGCTTTCATTTACAAAAATATAACTTCAATTAATTGGGTTTTTATTTAAGTTTTTCCCCTCTTTAATTTAATTTCCAAAGAACAACAAAGGGTCATTTAAGCGACTGGTTCTCAACATGGGCCACGCCATGTTTCTAAAGGGCCACACGTGAATGACAGAAAATTAGGGGCCCACAGTAAATTCTGAGTAGTCCACTGAAACTTCACTGTTAAATTAAATTAAATTAAATTTTTAAAATTGAATCAAAAGGTTCCCGTATCCCCCACAGCTCAGAAGTCAAGTTACCAGACGTGACTAGTACTTGAGTAACAATCAAAATGTCTGTCTGGTATCTGTGAATGTTCTCGACTGAATCTCAAGAGCAGCGAGTGATATAACAGCCCAAACTAGATTCGAACGTGATAAAAATTATTTCTGGATAAGTTGTGAAATAACTAATAAGTTTCCACAGCTCTGGGGGAAGGTAAAGTTGTATTTTATCGCTTTTCCCATATCTTATCTGGTTGAATCTGGTGACTTATTTGCTATCAAAATACATAACCGCCTTGATGTTGTGAAGAGAGATGATCTTCACTTATCACTGACCACAATGCAACCGGACATTCAAAAACTTTCAAGTGTTCATCAGGCCCAAGGATCACACTGAATAAAATGTCAATGATTAACAGAAAATTTGTTACTTGTATAAGTGAACATTATGCTTCAAACAAAATATTTAAAAACAGTACAATATTTTAATTCAATACTGTAAAAATAATATAATAAATCAACAGTGTGAAAATAAAAGTAACTTTTTTCCTAAGTAACAGCATCTACGAAGAGTGGGGCCACAGAGATAAATCAAACTCGAAAGGGAGCCACGAGCAAAAAAAAAGGTTGAGAAACACAGATTTAACTCATCCCATTTTCTACTTATCTACCACACAATAAATTATAATATAATCCACAATAAAACTCCCTTTCTTATATCCAATCTTGATCTTTAAAATTTACAAAATTTAAAAACAACAAGGAACCTGTTGGTCTATCTAGGCTGTCCCAGCCACCAGACTATGCTAAACTAAAAATTGCAACTCAATTGCTAGTTCTTATCATTAATTTTTATCAAGCCTTCCCTTAAAACTCCCTTAAATTAACTTCATCCACCAGATCTATAGGAAGCCCATTCCAAAATTTTCAAGAGAAAACTAATTACAAGACCTTAACATGTACCCATTTTAGGGCCTTAGTTTTCATTCCCTGTATCACTCTCGTAGTCTCCTCTAAACTCTTTTGAACAACTCAATATCCTTCCTAAACTTTAAACTAAAGGCTGAACTGAACACAAGACTCCAAATGAGGCTTAACCAGTTACCTATAAAATTAAATTATAACATCTTTAGACTTATATTCGATGTTTCTGTAGATACAACATAAAATCCTGGTTGCCCTGCCACCAACGCACTGCTTGAATAGTTTAAAACTACAACTTAAAAGCTTGATCAATCAGAACACCAACTACCAAGCTAAACTTTAAACCTTGAATTAATAATCAAGTTAATCCACAAATAACCAAAGTAATTTGTGTAAATTTAAGTATATTTATAAAAAAATGAAATACTTCATTTTACATGGGTATAATAAAAAGTTTTTACATTGTTACCTGTGCGAGAAGAAAGAAAATCAGAGCAAAACTCAAGTGGCAAATCACCTCACGTGGAGACTACTCGCTACCAACTTTCAAATCAAAATGATTTGGCCTAATTTTCTACAACCTAATGAGGCGACTGACACAAATCACAGAGAACATTTTTAGGTCGAGAGTAACATACTATTTAAGAAAAAGGTGCCTGTTGACCCATTGAAACTGTCTCACCTACTTAAAAACAAAACAAAAATTTAAACACAGCCCTAACTTTTAAGCATTTATCGCGCTCTCTGTTAAACGAAAAATACAATCTACTCCGTCCATTACACTGCTAGAAAATGGCTACCCGGAATTTTATAAATTTTCTATTTAAAGCAGATCGTTTTGTTTTTATGTGTTTGTTTATTTAGTTCGCTTTTAATATTCAAAATATAATGAGGAAATTTTACTTATAATTTTATCTTATACCCATGAGTTATCCCGAGATTTAACGAAGTGGTCTGGTTTTTTTGAAAACGTTATAGGGTCCTGATTGTTAAAATGTTTCCATTCAAATAATTGTTTTAAACCTCAAACTTTTGTCAGCCTGAGATTTTACTATTTCATTTTATATAAACACTTCATGAGCGTACAGGCCCACAGACATTATTTTATTATTATTCTCAAATGTTACTGGGCCTAGGTCCCCAATAAACCTTAACCCGACTCTGAAAGACACACTGATATTTTTGTATTAACTTTAGTAGAGTCTATAAATGTTGAATTTTTCTGATTTTTTTGTTCTACTTAAAATGGCATGAAATGGACTTTTCTGAGATCTTATGATTATACGCAGATCTATAAAATGGAAACTTCTACTCCTCGAATTGCTTATACCATCTTCATCTTATATCTCAAATGTGGAAAACAACAAAAATGGCCAGAATTGTTTCCTGCACGAGTCAACAAGGTCTCGTTTTCCAGTGTGAGCTTTATGAACCACTCAGTAAACAATCTGACAAAACATTATTAATGCCATAACTACAAAATTGGTTAACTTTCATTGGATCCCATGCAATTGGCTCTACTGAGAAAGTTGGGATTTCATTAGCTCATACGTAGAGGTGTACACAGGGGCGGATTGGGATGGCTAAGC